GTCAAAATCTTGAGCAAAGGAAACAAAAAATATCAGAGAATTCCTAGAAGCTTGGCATTCAGCAACCAATACAGGTAAAATGAATCCGTTGATCAATAAGATGAGTGATAAACACCAACAAGGTCACAGGTCAAGTAGACGAATAGCCGATACGAAAGTATTCAACTTATTAGAAATCGATAATCACATCTCTATGCATGTATGCTCACTGATTAGCAATTTTGAACACATTGGAGCAGCGCCAAATATCATTTCGCTTCCAAATTTAAAAAGTTGTAAGGAAAAAGTTTGTTTAAAATGAATTTTCATAACTGATTGATATCAGCAATTGCCTAAAACAATAGATTATTGAACAACCGATTTGTTCTAGGTTCAAATCTTGTGACAATATACACCCATGACTGCTTATAGCTTAGAAGTTTGACTACGGAGTGTTAAGAAGCATTTCCACCTAAAAATAAAACAGTGTCTAGTACTCGATGGAATTAGATAGTTCTTTCTATCGTTTTCATCAGCGATTACTATCATTTAGTTCTTCTTAAGATGTTTAGGTACTCGTCACGCGAAACTCTATATTTCTTGCTCAAATTCTTGAGATAGAACTATAAGATGGTGTCTAAGAGATACTAATGAGAAACTTTAAAGTTTGTGTATTAAAAGATGCTTCTAAAGATCTGACACGTTCATATTTCACTTCATTCTACTATTTGTAACATCATGTATGCGAAGATTTTCAATAACTGTGATAAATTTTCTGTTTAAAGATACTTACCATGTGATGATGTATTTGATAACATCTTTTCATAAAAAATATGTACAAAAAGGGAACAAATATTTTTTTTATTTCGCTTTGCTTGAACCTGAAATATTACAATGTGTAAACTCTCTGTTAAATAAAGTATATCACGAATTTATAGGTTCTGTATCCACTTGTTTACATTGTTGCGTTTCTGTGGTTTCTTAAGTGTCTTCTGACCTACTTTCAGTGTTCTGAATGTAGTTTTGTTGAGCACAAATGAAAAGATTGTCATTAACCTCAGCCTACTACAAGACATACAAATCTACATTACATATCTTAGTAGTCGGGGAATAACACCTACATATCTCAAGAAGAAATTCACTATTCATGTGGATAAATCTAATCTCATTGAGGCTTTAAAGAGTATATATTCTCAATTATGACATCTTTGCTATTCTTCATCCTTTTGAGTTCAGTCTTTCTAGAATATTATCGAATACTTAAGATATTTGAGCAATCGTAATAGAAGTACTAAAAGAAATCAACCACGGTTAACCCAACGATACTTTGAACAATTGTTTGCATTAATATATCGCTGAAAAATACATTTAAAGCCTAATGGATTAAAATGTTTATAACTAATGCACATAATTAATCTTAAAAATCTACATTTATTCTTATGAAAACAAACAAAACGAAGAAAATAACAATAATTTTTAGGACAAATATCTACGACAGCATGAATACGTTTACCTTAGTTACTTGTTTGCATACAAAAGTAAACACAAGGCTGTCTACTATCACCCCTGATATTCCTCATTGTGGTGGACTGGATCATGCAGCAAACTGTGATGAGCGAGAAGAGGGGGGAAAAGATCCTAGAAGATTTGGATTTCGCCAATGACTTGTGTCTAATATCGCACAAACTCGAAGATCTACAGGCGAAATCCAACAAGTTGACAGAAGAGACAGGTCAGCGGAAATGGGACTTTCTTCAAGTGGATGGATGTAGAGAAGACAGAGGTGATGGAGATACCCAGCCAACACCACCACCACCACAACAACAACAACAACAAGAAGCACCAATCACGATGAACGGAAGAAATCTAAAGGAAGTAGTCTCCTTCTCCTACCCATCTACCTAGCCAGCATCGTCTCAACTACGGGCGACACAGACGAGGATGTCAATGCCAGGATCGGTAATGCAAGACAGGCTTTCCTGCATTAATCTGAAATGATCAGTGCGGACATCTACTGCACTCAACACAAGCGTGAACAACATCGGGATTTTCAACATCAACGTCAAGTCAGTGAGTGCCTCTATATGATTGAGAGAGTTGGTGCGTTACGAAAAGCATTTCCAACAAACTACAGACATTCATCAACAACTGGCCTACACTGGCTCGTTACTGAAGATCAGATGGGATGACCAGTATAATGAGAATAAGCAACAAGGAACTCACTCTGGTTGGGAACGAATCAACCAAGAACCCATCACCCCAGAAATATGCAGAAGGAGGTTGAGATGGATCGGGTATGCACTGAAAAGACCTATCGGGGACATCACGCACCAGGTCAGGCACTCGAGTGGAATCCAGATGGAAACGACGAGTTGGGCGTCTGAGGTTGGGGTGATAGAGGAGATGGTGTGAGGAGGAAATGAGAGCTTGTGAGGATTCTTGGAGCCAGGTTCAGAAGATTTCAGAGAGGAGTGGAATGGAGGCGTGCTACTGAATTCTTATGTTCCACTAGGAACTCAAGGGACAAATAATCTAATAAATAATAATACTTCGTGGTTAAGAAGATGAGTTGTTGCTAATTGAGTGGTACTGTTCATAAGGAGAATTTGTATATTACCATATACAGCTAAAAGGATTTGTAAATACTCGTCTTTTATATCATAGGCAACTATACATTATGATCCTTTTTACAAAATGTGAAATCAAGCAATTTTAGAAGCAGTCAGTATCTACTTATTTGCCAGTACTTGTAGTACATGTATGTTGGAAGAACAGGAAGGCTGCTTACTAAACGAATCACTGGACATATACTGAAAAGCCAATGACTGAGGAGTGGAAGGCTACCAGTCTGCGAAGTTGGCAAGAACATCCTGGAAACAGGTCACGCGTCAACTCCTACATTGCTTCCGAGATAATCAATAGACAAATTGGAGGTAGATTCCTATGGTATGCAAAAACAGTAATAATCCATCAACGGGAAACGATCGTATATACAGAAAGATTTTCAGTTTACCTTTATTATACACTGCCCACCATCTTTAATGTTCTCCCATCATTATCGAATTTCCTACTACCTTGAAGTGTAATCATACAACTTCACCACTATTACGTCTTATTATTTTCTTCATGTAAAGTGAACAATTTAATGTTTTGGTGTGTTATTTGACTTGTTCAGTGCAAAGAAAGATGACGTATGCTCTTCAGGTACCTTGGAGATGTGAATACTGCATAACATCTGCTTCTTATGCTCTTTTAAAGCTTTCTTCAAAGACTCTATGACAGAAACGCTCAAAGAAGTTTGATTCGTTTTCGGTTATAACATTTTGGAAGGTATCGTCGCTCATTATTAAATAAAGCAAACCTTCCTCGGTTTGCTTCATTTTATAGTACTTTTCGATTTCGTGCAACCAATCGCATGGGATATTTCGTGGTCCATTTTGATTGGATAACAAGTAACACTGGGAGTTAGGGGGAAAGAGTAGAAAATAACAGTCGAAAAAAATTAACCGTGGACAAAGTATATTTCATAAAAGTGTGTCTTATGTTGCATTTATTGTTGACATGTATCAAAAGATGTAATTATCTTAGTAACTCGGTTGAGTGTAGGAAGTATGTGTCATCCTAGTTAAGGCTGGTCAGCTGAATGTACCTACACTCTAGTGAGTGATGTTGTTCCAGCTTAGGCTGGAACGCAGTACCGATGACTTGACTTCTGGTTGACAGTCATGAAGGACTGACATCAGCTGGAGAAACATTGAAAACCTTATGGCAGTACATGGTGGTTTCGTCGCACTATGGAACTCCTTAGCAGTGTGTACTGATGACGCCGTCAGGGATCAAACCCAGGGCCTTCAAGTCCTTTAGTCAGCACGTTACCAATAAATAAATCCCCATAAAAAAATTCAGAATTGAATTACTCTAGTGCTTATTAGTGACTTGCTTTGAGTTAACATCTCCGAAGTTCTGATGAGAAGTCATGATCGATGGGGTCAACCATATGGAACATGAGAACAGTTATTCAACGACGATATTAGATCGAAGTCTGGCTACACCATGAACTGATAGCAATAGCAAATGTGGACCTATAAAAGCCGACTAAATAGCTCATTGATAATATCCTTAGTATCGAAATCAAAAGTCACGAGTCTGAACCATGAAGGGGTCATAGATGCTCACTTCTGTCCAATGCTCCAAAGTTTTTAAATTTTCTCCAATTGATCTCAGTTCATAATAAATATCAACCTGAATTGTGTGCTACATGAAAGTATAGAATTCTGAAATGAAATCAGTATTAGCTGTAATGATAATAATAATAATAATAGTAATGATAATCATACAAACTTTCTCATAAAATTTTACCAAGCATATAAACTATATATATATATATATATATATATATATATATATATATATATATATATATATATATATATATATATATATATAGGAGTAACATTATTTCAATGAAGATAAACAAGAACTGCTTGAAAAAAATAAAACAATAACACATGGACGAATAAAATTTCCACTATTTTTATTGGTCTATAAAATAAAAGCAAAACAATTATGTTAATGTATCTTATATTACTGATTACTTTTTATTCAAGTGTTCAATTAAACATTCAGTTAAGGTATATACATGATAAAGTGAAAAATTAACATGAGATAACTGAATAAATAAACATTAGATAATCATCAAGTGTACAATTGTAGTCTATAAATTCAAGGATGAAATACACACAATGAATAAATACATCAGTGAAATATCATCTTCATATTTAGTAATATTTTCATTATAATTAATGTTTATTTTAAATATCTTCTGTAAAGTGTAAAAGACAGAATAGAAATATTGAATATTCATACACTTACAATAAGTTAACAAACATCTTGTTTATTCATTCAGTCATATGGAAACAATGAGCAATACTACTAATAATAATAATAGTTCCAAATGAACACATCTCATGTATTTTTTAAAATGATTCACATAATAATAACAATAATAATAATAATAAGGATTATTTTTCAGATTCTACAAATTTAGCCAATGAAGGAATTTTACTTATTTCATCAGGTCCCAAGCTTTCTAATAATTGATTACGATAATGACCAAGTTCACGTTGCATAATTTCTACACATGGACCCATAAGTCGTTCAAAACTTGATACATCTAATACTAGTATCCAATTTATCCAAGTGATAGAAAATAAAAGTCAAAAAAAAAGAGGAAAGAAAATTTATCACAAGTCTATTTGAATAAAAATAAAACATTTACAAAATGTTTTAAACAATAAATTTATTTTAAGGGAGTTGTGGGAATTTCGAAATATTTCAAGTTGTTATCCATTGTAGACTGACATCAGTTGGAGTAATAAAGGAAACCTAGGTGCACTGGGACTCCTTAGCAGTGCGCACTAACGACCCCCTCCCCTTAACCAGGGATCGAACCGGCAACCTTCAGGTCCCGTGGCCACCACGTTACCATTAAGCCACTAAGTCAGAATCCAATGGCGGTTGCGTTATATCGTGCATCAGCTAACAGAAGTTGGAAATATGGACCATTGGGTTCTGACTCAGTGGCTCAGTGATAACGTGGTGGTCATGGAACCTGAAGATCGGGGGTTCGATCCCTGTTGGGGTCGTGGGTGCACACTGCTGAGGAGTCCCATACTGAGACGAAACAGCTGTCCAGTGCCCCAGGTTTCCTTTGTTCCTCCAAATGATGTCAGTCTACGATGAATAACAACTTGAAATAAATTTATTACATTTTATTTTAAAATAACACCAGAAGTTCTGAATGTACTCAAATAACGTAATTTAGAACTTTACTGACAAGCTATTTTCTTTCAGAGATACCATATATCTCTCAACAACTAAGGAATATATCTCAATATAGTTTTTCGAGATAAATAAAGTATTCCAGATAACATACATGATTGCAGTGATGAAATATCTTTCTCTTTGACGAAATCATTCTCTCAGCCATACATTTGTAAAAATACAGTAAAAAGTAATTTCGAACCAAAAAAATTGTACTCGAAAGTCACTTTCTTGACACCTAACTTCAAAGAGAAGATGACAATTCAGTCCAGAAATCTACTTACAGAAAGCCCACTTGAAGTGGATAGTTTACTAGTTTTCAAAGCTGTATGCTTTTAAGCTTAAAGAGGAATCTTATCAATTCACTCTTCTCAGGACTATGGCACAGAGGATGATGAAAGAAAAAACTTGCGAGAAATCTTCATGAAAAATGGATACCCAATGAAATTTAGAGATAAGAATCTAAGGCAGAAAAATGCCACAGAACGCTTGGACACTGCTCCGAAAAAGATTTTACAACTGCAACAGGACCAGATGGAATTTTGCCAGGAGCACTGAAAACAAAGGCAGAGACATCGGCAGATACGTTCACACAACTATTGCAGAAGGTTTGCAAGGAAGGAAGGAATGAAAGATACCTGCCGACTGGAAGAAAGGCTACCTTGTCAAACTCTCAAAGAAGGGTGACCTGAGTCTTTGGAAGAACTGGCAAGGAATCACGCTCTACCACTGTCCACCCCAAGCAAAATATTAGGCTGCATCGTCCTGGAGACATTAAACAAAAATATGCTGTGGATTCAAAAGTACGACGGGAACAGGCCGGCTAGCTTCAGGAAAAACAAATCATGTGAGGATCGAATTGCAACGCTACGCTAAGCATCATCATAGAACAGAGCATAGAATGGCAGTCAACCTACCTCTACCTCAACTTCATCGATTTTCAAAATGCATTTGACAGCGTCGACCCACAAGTAATTTGACAGGCAGCTGCCTCAACACCACGGCTTTTGGGCCACAAACCTTCAACAGCTATTTGATAATAATAATGCTGCATGCGAAGTGACTAACAATGGAAAGCGGGGTGATGCCTTTGAAGTGAAGACAGGAGTAAGGCAAGGCTGTCTACTAACACCGATAATCTTCCTGAATATGGTCAACTGCATTGGAATGGATCATGCAACAAACTGTGAGGAGTTATAAGGAGATAGGTATACGCTATTTGACCAATAAAAGGACCCTACAAGATTTGGATTTCGCCAACGATGATGATTCATGTCCAATGTCTTTTCATACAAACTCGAAGATCTACAGGCGAAAACTAACAAGTTGGCGAAGGGGCAAGGTGAAGCGAGACCAGGCAGTAAAGGAAGTCAGGACATCCTTCAGGTGAACGTAGAGAAGACAGAGGTGATGAAAATACTCAACCAACAACAACAACGATCACCATCAACGGGAGAAATCCAAAGAAAGATGTCTCTTCCACCTGCCTACTTACCTACCTAGGCAACATCGATTCAACGACAGACGGTACAGGCACCTATGAGGATGTCAAAGGCAGTCAGCATCGCAAAGACAGCAAGACAAGCTTTCCTTCATCAATCTGAAATCATTGTGAAGATCTACTACACTGCACTGCACTCAGCATAAAACGTGAACAACATCCGGATTTTCAACAGTAATGTCAGTCAAGTAAGTTAGTGATTCCATGTGATGGTTAGAGAGTTGGGGCTTTACGAGAAGGATTTCCAATAACTACAGACATACTTGGACAGCTGCCACCTACGCTCACTCGATAGTGAAGATCAGATAGATGACCAGAATAATAAGAATAAGCAAGGAGGAACTCACTGTGGTTGGCAACGAACGAACCAACCAGGAACCCATCACCCAACAAATATGCAGGAGAAGAAAATGGAGATGGATTGGATTCGATATGCACTGAGAAGACAGTTTGGAGATACCATGCGTCAGGCCATCAAGTGGAAACAAAGAGGAAACGGCGAGTTGAGCGTCCGAGGGTGACATGGAGGAGATGGTGTGAGGAAGAAATGAAAGCTTGTGGGCATTGGTGGAGCCATGCTGGAAAGACTTCAGAGAAAGGAGTGAAACGGTAACGTGCTAATGAAGCTCTATGTTCTACTAGGAGTTCAATGGACAAATAACTAAGTAAACAAACCCTAAATTTTACTAATGAGTGCATTGAACGAAACACGTATTTTTTGGAATCTTATTTAAAATATTTGAAAAATAGTCTTCACAACTTCATTGTGCGCAAAATAAATAATATTTTCAAATCGAAGACATACCTGCTAATTTGGTTCTACCAATCGCACGAGCTGAAGCTTTTCTAGGTTCATGTAAAATGAGCGCCAATTCTAAAGTATAAAATAGAGAGGTAAAAAGTCATACATTTCATCAATCAGAAAAAAAAAAACCTTTTGAACAATATTAAGAAGTGTTTAAATGATAATGAAGTGGTTGAAGTAAAATAAAAGATCTAGTCAGCAGCCAGATCTTATAGCTCATTTGGTAGAGTACTGGATCAAAAACACGGAAATCGTTAGCTTGAATCCTTTACCAATTCAAATCATCATTTCTCCATCAATCATCATCCAGTATTCACCATACTGATATAATCAAATCCCGTGACAAAATGAAACATTTACGAATGTAAGAGGAGATAGAATGAAATAATGAGTGATATACACAATCAGTACTAATCAGTAAGGTGTGGTAACCCAGCAGCGGAAACAATATGATAAAAACTACTCAGAAAATTTCATTCAGAAGTTTACTTAATGCAAGTATGCATTAGGTGATGTGTAACTAAAATTTCCTTGAAAAAGATACCTTTGAAACTAACTAATTCTCATATCATCTGTTAGATTCACTGATTCACAATAACGTTATACACAAAGAAATCTAGCATCATGAAAGTAATGAAAACATTACTCTCACAAAAGGTTCAGCAGATTTCCATAAAACGTTTTAAACAACTGACAGCTATTCCTATGGGAGATAACAGAGAATAAAATAGTCATAGATTCTTTAACAAGTGACCTTTGCATATTCCTGATATCTAAAACAGTAAAAATTTCATACAGAAGAAGATTATAATAATACAGATAAGAAGCAACAAACTAGATGAAGAAATTCTTTTCAATAGAAATTCTTTCAGGCTCTACAATTACAAAATACGATTTGTACAGCATGAAGTCAAGCCATGTTACAAGAAGACACATTTCAAAATTTCAGTGTGATTTAGGGATTGTAAAGAAATCCATCCTTCCCTTTTGTTTATCATCGCTGACTACAATACTGGATGACATGAATTCAAATCTCACAGTAGACATTAGTTCCCTCAAGGTTGTAGATACCCCTTAGTGACGAGTGTCAACAAGTAAAAAACCAAGATCAAGCACAATTCCCCCCCCCGATTGCCTCCATCCAACTAACATTTCATACAGTCTCCAGTAGAACGCTATTAATTACTCGGCACCTATGAAGACATAATCATAAATAAAAACATTCCCAGGTGTACACTAATAAGGCGGTTGAAGACTGATCTATTTGTCACTTGTAGGCACATTGTACTAAATATGAAAATAGCAGTTGTGAATCATGTACATTGTCTCTAATGGTTTAGGTTTCAATGAGTGAACATTCAATTGTCAATCTCTCCTTGACTCTTACACAGCATAAATATGTCATCCAATCTCATTCTGATGGGTTCGCACGGTGATATAGAACTTATAAGAAATTGGTTGTAGACGTTTTCTATTACCACGCTTCCTGTATGCACAACAACCATATTTGTCGTTGTTACAACCTTCATGTTCCTAGGTAAGGTGTATATTTAGTTTAAGAGAAAAATTCAGATTGACCAACTCCTAACTAGAATGATAAATGTTAGGTGAAGTTCTTTCAAAAACCAATACCCCAATGTTGGATGGATGGATGTGAATCAAATTGAACTTAAAGTTGTGCAATATTCACATCACATGGAAGTGATTACTTCAGTTGAGATAAGAGAGAGGGGATTACTTAGATCAAAAAAAACCCAGTCACAGTGTCTCTACAACCTTCCAGTTACTCTTAAAGATACGATTTACCAAACAAGGAATGACCAATATTTTTTAATTCAAATACTGAATTCATTTGAAGAATATTGGGATGATCCATATACAGATGTCAGTGATGATAGTGAACAAAAAGATAACGAATAAAACGGAGGAGTGGTTTTTAGTTTACTGAGGGCAAGGCGAGAAGTAATACTCTAACATGTGCCTTCTGAATGCAGAGTTCAGACTTCATCAGTCTCATTGCGACAGCGTCCATTGTGTTGAACAGGCGTTGGTGAACTACATGTGGTATGATTTTTCGATTACAATGAATGACATAGAAAGCTTTATTGGCATCTATCTGTGTGGTATTTAGTATCTACTAGGTATGCTAGGACTGGAACCTTGCCTGGTTAACTAGTTCACTAGTTACTAGCCGGTCCCAAGCCCGGGTAAAAACAAATCTAACCGTTAAAGAAACTTCACATCACAAACAAAATATAAAAAATAAAGACAAAATTATTCCTCGCTGGAATCGGAGAGGCGAAATGACGCCAGTTGGTGAAAGCTTGCCTTCGGGAAGGCAATTGGCCGATGTGTCTTCTCTCTGTGAAAGCGAAAGTAAACGTGGGGACATTGAACCCAGCAAGGCAGCCCAGATTTCAAACAAGATGAGGAGGTATCACATTCAAGTGCCTGGAATTTGCGAAAGCAGATGGAATGGGAGTGTGTGTGTGTGTGTCTTCTTGTAACATGGCTTGACTTCATGCTGTACAAATCGTATTTTGTAATTGTAGAGCCTGAATAGAACTTGTATTGAGATGAACATTCTTCGTTTCTGCTTTTGCTTTCTATCTGCAATTCTTTGAATATTCATAGGCTTTTTGAATTGGTACGTATGCTCAGTGACGAATACCAGGACAAGTAGATGGTGAACGCGTAAAGACTGGTAATATTCGACTAGTAAAATGCCTACTGGAGACAACATCAGATTGAGAAGATGAGCAGATGTAGGTAGGTTGACAGTAGTCTGTATGTAGTGCAAGGAAGGTAGCTACCTTCAAAATCAGGTTGAAAGACTTAAATTGAAAGAAGCTGGTGATAGACGACCAGAGTTCAAGTTGAACAGGCAGAAGAGAAGGTGAAGGACGGAGCAACAAAGAAAATCTTGACGTCAGTCGTCAGGACAAAATAGAAAACATTGAGCAACATCCCTGAATAAACCTGCTTGGAAGAAAAGTGGAACTCTGCAAAAGGGACGTGAAAAGAAACCTCAATAACCGTGTTAAGAAGGAAGAAGAAGAAAGAAGACAAGGAATAGATCTCTACAGACACATGGAAGCTGATAAAGAATGGAGACGAAGACAGTAAAACAGCAGATAAACCAGTACAAGGATAAACAACGAAAAGAGGAACGGAACACAACCTATTAAACACTACACTGGATAAAGAAGCAGAGAAGAGTGCGCGCAAAGACAAAAAATACTTCTACAACACACTTGCACTGAATCAGAACTGGTCGCAGGTAGGATAGACAGAGACCTGACAACACTATATCAAATAACCAGGTTACTGCTATCTGCTAGGGAAGAGATAAACCCAGATGAAACCAATGAAAGATGGTGAAGGAAACTTATTTACCGCCAAAGAGGAGAAATAAAGGAAACGATGAGCTGACCACTTCAAAAACTCTTCAATTGACCACCGCCTGCAACTCGTCCAGAAATACCTCCGGCTACCCAGCCACAGAACTATCAGTGAACAGAGACCCTCCAACAGAAGGAGAAGTGAAGTCCTGTACGCCATAAAGTTACTGAAAGGCGGGAAAGCATCAGGGCCAGATGGAATTCCTCTAGAAGTACTGAAAACAGATGTAGAGACATCATCAGTGGACATGCTTACACCACTATGCTACGATGAAATAGTTGTCTAGTGCTTCCAGGTTTTCAATGCTTTTCCAAGTGATGTCAGTCAGTGGTGAATACAATCTTCAATTTTCATCTCAGAGTTTGCATTACTAGGCGAAAACAAAAAAACGATAAAGTAACAAAAGCTAAAATCCACTCACACAAATGCTCAGTATTCAGCTATCGTGCTTCTTAAAAACAGGGTGAGAAACAGTCAACACAGTAATTAAATGATGGAAATAATTTTCGTGAGCTTGAATAAGCAATGAAGGATAAATTTATTGTATATGTTTTCATCTACAAAATAGGCGTCCGATTTTTATTATTTACAGTGGGGATAGCTTTTTTATTAAATATTTGAGGAATGAAATCACTGATTAACTATAATGGGGAATAGAAAATATCAACTATCATTGATAGGGATGATTACATTAACAGGACTTCAAAGTATTCAAATCGACAATTACATTTTGATGAATACTGTGAAATAATAGTACCGATGGAGTGATTTTTGTTGTCCAGTTTATAATGTGTAACAAGAAATAAAATTGATGACCGTCTCTTTCTGAACACACAGTTCTGGATGAACTCGTTGAATAGTAATGGTTACTGCTTCCATGATTAGAAGTAGGCGCTAGGTCTTACATATATTGACTAGTATGAAAAATTTCATCACATTTACTTGATATCTCATATCATATAAGTGGTAAGCTAGTGCTCTATTGAACGAGATGTAAACTGTTTGACGTGTAAGCAGTAAACCTGATGGGCAACCGGCTTTCTGTTCTTCCTATTTACTTGCTACCGCATACATATGTGAATTGATAAATAAAAGTTAGAACTTTGTTTTATTTGGACTGTGTAATTGTACATGGTGTTTTTATACAGTAAGATGTGTCTTGCAGCTGGATAGGTCTTAGACAGATACCTTCCAATTCGTTCGTTGATTGTTATCGCAACATCATCTCTTCTGAATGACAAAATTGACAGACATTAGTTTCTTTTCAAGAGTAATACATTCCACTCTCTTCTCCTTGTTTTTGCAGTACTTTTGAACAAATTTCATTAGATAACCATTATTGCTTAGATATGATTCGATGAGTTGAAACTTTTCTTACCAATGCCTGTCACTATCCAATGAGTTTAATCAAAATGTGAGTTCAGAAATAAAATTATCTCAAAAAATTGAATAAATTTTTATAGCATATTTAGTGAGGCAATGAACGGTCAACTTTACTGTTTATTCGTCTATTATACAAGGTATTTTATCAAACTAACTACTTCCCTTAAACTACAGATATTCATCGACAACTGCCTACTCTGGCTCTTTACTGAAGATCAGATCAGATGGCCAGAATGAATAAGCAACAAGGAACTCATTCTGGATGGCAATGAACCAACCAAAAAATATGCAGAAGGAAGTGTGGATGGACTGGGCACACACTGAGAAGGCCGACTGGGGACATCACGCGTCAGGCCAGTTGCTCGAGTGGAACCCCCATGGGAAGCGGCGAGTTCGGCGTGTGAGGTGAAGGTGATATGGAGCGAGGTCGTGAGGAAGAAATGAGAGCTTGTGGGCTGTCGTGGAACCAGGTTCAAAAGTTTGCAGAGAAGAGAGTTCACTGGAGACGTGCTACTGAAGCCAGATGTTCCACTTGGAACATAAGGGACAAATAATAACAATAATATAACTACTTCCGTTAACGTGTCATCCCCAGCATTTCTTTAAAAGACTCATTTTAGAGTAGACGTATATTTTCATACAAAGATAGCACAAACACACATCATCAGATGAAAATTAGACTAATCTCTTGAAAATGTTATTCTAACATAAATTCAAGGTGTTGAAAAATAATCCAATTCAAATAAAAAAAACTAATTTCTTTCAATAAGAACAGTGTGGTTTTCTTAGGTTAATCATCTGAAAATTGACTTGGACATGTACTACTCTTCTGCGTTAACAAATCAAAAGAACATTTATGCTTTTAAGCATGAGAACTAAGATGAAAAGAAAAATCGTGAATTATGAATTATTACCAATATTATTATTATTACTATTTGTCCCTTGGGTTCCTAGTGGAACATAGGGATTCATTAGCATGACTCCATTCTACTCTCTTCTCTCCAGTCCTTTCAACCTGGCTCTTCCAATGCCCACAAGCTTTCATAACTTCTTCATAACATCTCCTCCATGTCACCCTCACCTTGGACACGCAACTCGTCGTTTCCCATTCCGGTTCCACTCGACCACCTGACTTCACCCGGTGCGTGTTGTCGTCATTCGGCCTTCTCAGTGTATATCCAATCCAATCCTTCTCCACTTGCTTCTTCTGCATAGTTGTTGGGTGATGGCTTCTTGTTTGGTTCATTCCCAGAGTTTCTTGTTGCTTATTATCATTATTCTGGCCATCCGATCTTCAGTATCGAGTGAGCGTAGGTGTAGGCAGAGGCTGTCGACTTGATGCATGTCTGCAGTTTGTTGCAAATGCTTTTCGTGACGCGTTAACTCTCTCAATCATCACATGGAAGAACTGACTTACTTGGCTGACACTAGTGTTGAAAATGAGGATATTGTTCACGCCTTATGCTGAGTGCAGTGTAATGCAGTGGAGTAGATGTCCAGCACTGATCATTCCAGACTAACTCAGGAAGGCGTATCTTACTGTCTCTCTAATGCTGGCTGGCTTTGACTTCCTCATGTGTGCCTGTGCTGTCTGTAGTTGAAATGATGCTGCCCAGCCTAAGGTAGGTGAAAGAGACTACTTTTTTAGGCTTCTCCTTTTCATGGTGATTGGTGGTTCTTGTTGTTGGTTGGGTATCATTATCACCTCCGTCTTCTCTACATTCACTTGAAGTCCTGTTTTCGCTGACCTGCCTCTTCTGTCAACTTGTTCATTTTTGCCTGTAGATCTTCGAATGGGAGTCAACAAGAACCAAATATTATTTTCATCCTCTTTGAGGAATATTTAGCGTCACTTGCCGACTATCGAATGTAGGGTTGAATTCCTGACTATCAGTTCGTCGGTGACCAAGCCAGATATTTGTTCAGGTTTTTTATCAGACCCTCCATGGTTATATTATTGGCCTCTGACACTACCTGATCAAGCAACCTTCGCAAAGTACTAAAATTCACTGAAGTATTAGAATATTGACATTTTACAAACTCTGTACGATTGTGCATAGCTGTAGT